AAATTTAAGATGATGTTAAAAAGCTTAATCACTGTGGTCGGCCGTCCATGTAGTGACAAAGCGCACCAGGAGGGTGTGCGATGGCGACTACTATATATACACGAATGAATGAAAACCTACTGTAATCGTCCGATTGTTTCGAGTGATACATTAATCGAAAGGAATGGCAAAAAATAAAAGGATTGCATACCAAAACATTAAAAAACAAGGAATAACGCTATAGTCGAGTACCTCGACTATCAGATACCCGTTACTCAGCTAAATAGGGATATGCAAGTAGCAAAGCGAGATTAAAATGCGCCACCCACCGGCGGTATACAGATTTAAGCGTTATGGGCGTTAGAGTGGGCGTGGCAAATTTTTTTTTGGACCAATCGATAGGTATTGACAAGACCAATACATTTCAGTTAAATTTGTTTATCTAGCATGAAAATTGTGGGCGTCACAGGTTTTCGCGGTTTGTGGGCGGTAAAGTGGGCCTGGAAAACTTTTTTTGGACCAATCGATAGGTATTGATGAGAACAATACATTTCAGTTAAAATTTTTTATCTAGCATGAAAATTGTGGGCGACACAGGTTTTCGCGGTTTGTGGGCGTTAAAGTGGGCGTGGCAAACTTTTTTTTAGGTCAATCGATAGGTATTGATGAGAACAATTCATTTCAGTTAAAATTTTCTATCTAGCATCAAAACTGTAGGAGTTACAGTTTTGGGCGGTTTGTGGGCGTTAGAGTGGGCGTGGCAGTCTACTGAAACAAACTTGCGCTGCGTAAGAAGCTCAGGAATCTGTACGCCAAATCTCAATAGCCTAGCTCTCATAGTTTCCGAGATCTCAGCGTTCATCCGGACGGACAGACAGACGGACAGACGGACAGACGGACAGACGGTCAGACGGACAGACGGACAGACGGACAGACGGACAGACGGACATGGCTAGATCGACTCGGCTAGTGATCCTGATCAAGAATATATATACTTTATGGGGTCGGAAACGCTTCCTTCTGCCTGTTACATACTTTCCGACGAATCTAGTATACCCTTTTACTCTACGAGTAACGGGTATAATCAATTGGTTTAGAAGAAAAAGCGATGAAAGTGTAAAAGTGAAAATTTAGAAAATTTGATCTAGTTGTATTCTCGCTTAGAATACGCGTCGAATGAAACCTCATATGGAAAAGTCCGATGTTCCGTTAAGAAGCTATACGCAAAACAAGATTTTGGCGGACGTTCTACTAGTTTGGCATAGGCATATTGAATTGCAGCGTACCGAATGTAACAAATTTAGGAAGTGTTTTTATTTAGTAGATCGTGTAATACATTTCCGTCACAAATGTTCATATCAAAAGTTCTTGATCAGGATCACTAGATAAGTCGATCTAGCCATCCCCGTTTGTCCGTATGAACGATCTGATCTCGGAAACAAAAAAATATTGGGATAAGGCATACAGATTTTAGAAATTCCTGCGCATTGCAAGTTTTTTTTGGAAAAATGCTCACTCTAACGCCCACAAACCTCCCAAAATCGGTCGTTTAAACGCCGATATTTCGGACTATAAAAGCTACGACGGCTTCTATTTAAGTTTCTTACCTAAGTCACTTCTAACCATTTCAAAACCAATTGGCTTTTATTCAAAAAAAAAATGTTGGACTTTTTTATCGAAAAAAACTACAAACAACTTTTGTATGTATGACCACGTTTGATTTCGAATAAAAATGAATCAAAAACTTACCTCGGAAGAATGATGGAATTAGCTCGAGAATATTTTTTTTCGATGCAGCACCATACTGCAGCACTGTGAAAAACTGGTTAAGTGAATTCAATCGTGGCCGACGGTCATTGGCATTGTGTCAAAGAACATTGATACCATGCGTAAACTAATAATGCAAGATCGTGAGATAGAGGCATCCTTGGGCAATTCTTCCACCAGCATACATTCGATATTGCATGAACACCTGGCCGTAAAAAAATTTGTTCTCGTTTGATCCCGCACAATTTGACAGCCGCTACAAAAAAAGACCGTGTGGATTGGTGCAAAGAAATTTTGATAAAGTACAATAGCGGTGTTTCAAAGGACGTTTATAAAACCGTCACAGGTGACGAGTCATGAAGACCGCATGGGTCTTCGAAGACGAGCCAAATCCGAGGAAAGTTGTTCATGGAAGAAGCGCTTCAAAGCAAGTGGTCGCCTGATTTTTCGGTAAAACTTCTTAAGTGGCGACTCTTTTTGAGCGGTACACCTTAATTTGTTTGCCTGAAGTCTTTGGAGAAATTCGATAAACGAACAACAAAAGACAATTCCCTGTGCACCATGAAAGTAAGAGCTCACACACATCAGCTAAAACCAGCGCCTTTTTGACCGGCCAAAACGTCGAATTGATGGGTCACCTGCCGTACAGCCCTAACTTGGCACCCAATGAATTCTTTTTATTCTTGCACATCAAAAGAAATATGCGTAGTCAACAATTTTCGTCGGCAGAAAAGTCTGTTGAAGCGTTCAAAAACCATTTTTGGAGGTGTCTCAATGGGCGTGGAAAAAGTGATTCGACAATTAGTTTCAGCGCATCCAAAAGTGTATAAATCTTATTGGATAATACTTTGAAATATAATAAATCCCTTTTTATACCCGTTACTCGTAGAGTAAAAGGGTATACTAGATTCGACGGAAAGTATGAACAGGTACCCCACACAGTATATATATATTCTTGAGCAGGATCTCTAGCCGAGTCGATCTAGCCATGTCCGTCTGTCCGTCCGTCCGTATGAACGATGAGATCTCGAAAACTATAAAAGCTAGAAAGTTGGGACGCCCAATACGCCCACGCTAAAACCTTTCTACCGCTTGAAGATTATGTAAAAGTGTAAATGCAATTTTGTTTTAATTATCAATATCTATTATCCTGCCAAAAATTGTTGAAATCGAACCATAGGTTATAGGCAAGTGAAGAAATCGCATAAATCCATCTCCCTCGCACTTCCCTTAGCTGAATAACGGGAATTTAATAGTCGATGGTACTAAGTAAAGCGTTTTCCATTGTTGATAATAAATATTCACATTTTTGTTATTGGGCCAGAAATACATATATAGCAACCCTCGTATTAGGCATACAGATTCTAGAAATTATTGCTCCGCGCCCAGATTTGATGCTAGAAAGAAAATGTAAGCAGAAATGCGCCCACAAAGACCAAAACGCTATAACCTGTCTGACGACCACATAAACAAATGTTGTAGGCTTTGCTGCCTGCATATATCCATCTCCCTTCCGAACCCTTTAGCTGAGTAACGGGTGTCTAATAATCGAGGCAGTGGTCAACTGCGTTCTTCCTTGTTTATTAATAGATTATATTTATTTCAACAACAGGAGATCCTTAAAAGTCATTTTAAAGGAGTGTTCTTTAAAAACTATAAAAACAGATTTTAACATGAATGGTAAAATCAAATTAACCAAATAAATGTTTGGAAATTTTAGTCAATAAGTTTAATTTTGTATACCCTTGCACAGGGTATAATGATTTCTGTCAGAAGTTTTCAACGCAGTGGAGGAGACGTTCCGGCCACATAAAGTATGGATATATATTCTTGATCAACATCATTTTTTTAATATTTAAGAATTTTTATTAACGTCGTTAAAGCAATCGTACGACAATCGATATTACTCAGTAATAGATAATAACTATTTAAACAAATAAACATGAGAATTAAATTTATAATATTTAATGTACGTATACATATGTGCAAAATGGTGTAAAAAAGTGTTTGTAACTAAAAAATGTTTATTTGTTTAAATTGTTTAACCAATTTTTCCCAATATTTTGTAAATAAAAAAGTTTCACAACACTGCCTAATTTCTTTCATATTATTTTTCCACCAATTTTCCGATCGTCCCAGCTATATGATATAGTCGTCCGATTTTGATAAAATTAAATTCGAAATTCAGAACTAATTAAAAAATGTTATTTCCAAGCGTAGAAGGTTATATGTTAAAAAACACCGAAGCTATAATTTGTTTCATATTATTTTCCCACCAATTTTCCGATCGTTCCTATGGCAGCTATATGATATAATCGTCCGATTTTGATAAAATTAAATTCGAAATTCAGAACTAACTAAAAAATGTTATTTCCAAGCGTAGGAGGTTAAAGGTTAAACAACACCGAAGCTATAATTTGTTTTATATTATTTTCCCGTCAATTTTCCGATCGTTCCTATGGCAGCTATATGATATAGTCTTTCGATTTTGATAAAATTTAATTCAAAATTTAAAACTAATTAAAAAATGTTATTTTCAACCTTAGGAGGTTATATGTTAAAAAAAACACCAGATATAATTTTTTTCCGATTATTCCTATGGGAGCTATAAGATATAGTTGTTCAATCCGGCTGGTTCCGACTTATATGTATACTACCTGCAAAAGATATATCATGGCTAGATTGACTCGTCTAGTCATGCTGATCAAGTCTGAAACGTCTCCTTCACTGCGTTGCAAACTTCTGACTGAAATCAATATACCCTCTGCAAGGGTATAAAAACATTCGTTCAACATTTCATTTATTTATATTTCTATTTCTTTGTGCACCACCAGATTTTTCTTTTTTAAATTTCTCCAGTGATTTCTATTCCGTTTGTCCACAGTGCTTGACCGATCGAAAATTGTCCTTTGGAACAAGTACGCATGCATACTCATTTGCTTATTCGTTATACTTACTCTCAAGGCTGTAAATATTATTAATAAATGCACATATTGCTATTGCAAAGGAGTGAAAAACTTCTCACAGTAGGTGTGAAAAATCTGTTAGTGCAGGAAAGGAAAAACCTCTATGATTTATTCCTGCTTTGTGCAGTCAGAAAATATCCTTAATAATTCTTTAAGCCCTGTTTTTATTGTGTCACCACCGTGCATTTCCCAACCAAAAGTGGTATTATAAGTTATAAAAAAAAATTAAATTTTCCTACGGGTTTTTCCCAATGAATAAGGCGTGAGTGTGAACGTAAAAACACTCACCTGTGTGTCATTCAGTATCTCCAGATGCTCTCCCTTCCGGAAGCTTAGATCCTCGTCGGTACGGGCGTCGTAGTCGTAGAGGGCGACGAATATTTTGGCATTGGAACCCGCAGTGTCGCTCTCCGGGATCTGGGGAACGGGACGGATTTGCTCTGCCGGCTGCCCAGCGTGTGAGGGCATGGGGATCTGGGGCACGCCCACTCCCACGCCGACGGTGGGCGGGTCGTCCAGCTTGATGCGATCGACTGGTTTGTCCGGCTCGCCCTTTTGGGTGGTGAGGCAGTTGCCCATTGTTGGATGAGTAGTAGTAGTACTGCTAAAAGTACGATAGCTAAAAGCAGTCAATGGAAGCCAATTGGCAGCGAACGCGTTTACTGTTACTTTCTCTGTTTGTTTATTGCTTATCGCTGCAATATCATCGCTTGGGTGTTGCACTAATTGTTGCTCTCACTCGATACACTCTCCACCTCAACGTTTACAATTTGTTTAAGTTTCAGTCGCGATTTCGCCCAACTCTGTTTTACAGGGCACTAACTAAATTAAACGTTTGTCCGCGACCCAGCGTGTGCTTTTGTGTGCGTACGTGAGTGTTTTCTCACTTTAATCTAAATTCGCTAGTGTAGGTCAGTGCGTGGTATATATGTGTGTGATGATGGGGTGCTGGCAACAAAACAATCGAGAGGGCGCAAAAAGATTTTTAGCTTTGTGAATTGATTGGTAACTTTCGCGTGCACTATTTTTCACCAGGCCTGAGTATCGCGTTTACATATTTCACTTAGTTATCGCCTCTTTTCCTTCGCGTTACACAGAGACAGTGTGACCATGTGTGTGACAAGAAAAAATACCTAAGTATCGTAAAAGATATTAGAGTACTGACGTTCAGACATAGGGTGTTTCTGCATTAAGCCGAGTAATCACATCGACGTACGGCGCCCTCTTACCGCAGGAGCTAGCGTGAGGCAAAGAGGCGGCTAACGCTTTTCGTAAACAGTTGGAAAGATTGACAAATATGAAAATATGAAATCCGACAGGGCACATCAACCGTCTACCATCCGATAACAGCTGATCTGAACAGCTGTAGCTAATAAAAACATAAGTAAACATTGTTGAAGTAGATTCTGCGAGACCAAAATGAATAATTTACCCACCACTTTGGCTGTTGTACAACAGCAAAATATAAAGTTGCATCAGCAGCCAATTCAGAGGAGTGGAATGACGACGAACTGGAGCTGTACGAAATTGTTTCCTGCAAAAGAGCAAGTACCACGAAGTGTGTAGATGCTGGTAAAAGCTCTTAAGTTATAGTAAAAATACTATTACGGTTTTATATTAAACAGATGGGATACGGGACATTTTGGGAAAAGTATATACCGGAAAACAGCGACGAGTTCTTCAAAGGGAGCTCTTGTAAAGCCTAGTACTCGCATCGAGGAAAACCGCGAGCTAACCATAAGAGTGAGAAAGAGGAAAACAGGCGGCTATGGCTTTTCGTCGGGTCTGTTAATTAGCGCGGTACTCAGATGAGCTAACGAAATACCAGCAAAAATACCAGATTTAGCGAGTGAATTTAGATGAACGCCGTTAGCCGCGGCCCAATGAATACGATATTTAATCTTTAAGCCTAGTACTCAGATCGTCTAAGAGTTTCACTAGTCGAAAAATCGTATTCTTTGTAGTGTGACCGAAGTTTTCAAAGTTCATCCGCAATGCATGTGGCATGGACTTACTGTCAAGCAGCTGGACTTGTTGCCAAACGGAAAACAAATCAATTGGAGCAATTTAAAAAAGAAGAGTTTGCTGGTGCACAAAGATATTAAAATAAAAATAAATGAAATGTTCAACAAGTGCTTTTATTTATGTAAATTAGAAGTTTAAGGCTTCCCTCTCGTCCCACGGATGCTTCGCCATCTATCCCGCGCCATCTGTAGTCCAGCTTCGAGTCCCAATAGGCTGGCCAATAATGGCTGGTGATGGCTCTCCAAGCTGTCCCTTAACGGGCGACCTTATTTTCTCCTCCCTATAGAAGCCGGCGCGTCCTTCATCTCCGCTTTAGCTGTCAAGTAGCTGGTGGACGTAGAGTCCTCAATTGAGAGCTCGTCGGAGATCGAGCGATGTCCCATGTTCCTTTCCACTGGGCTTCTCTAGTGTATCTTCCACTGCACTTAAACTATTCTGCGGATTTGCCCCGTTGTAGTATTGCTTCCTGTCGGTCAAGTCCCACAATAATGGGCAAAATCTTGGATTAGGTGTCCTTTTTCATCTGCACTGACCTCCTTAAGGCGTTTTTGGGGTTTTTCTTTCATTTTGAATTTTTAAATTCCCCACCGCTTCTGCACGAACACCGCCAAAGATTAAATTTCTTATTCTTTGGGCCGCGGATACCGGTGTTCACCGAAAATTCACTGGCTATATCTGGTATTTTTTCTGGTATTTCCTTTGGTAAGGTTTTACTGATAGAAGTATATTTTTAGCATAACCATCAGTTATACGATCTCCGACGAGCTCTCCGTTGGGGAACCACAGGACTCCACCACCACCAGCTTCTTGAAAGCTAAAGCTGCAGGTCGGGATTCTATAGGGTGGAGGAAAAGACGACGCGCTCTAAGGGACAGCTGGAGGATCCATTAACCAGCCATTGCCTGCCCCTCAAGGCCCATGTTGGCATATTGCGAATCGGAGCTGGACTGCAAATGGCACGGAGAAAATGGCGAAGCATCCATTACAAGAGAAGGATGCCTTAAACTACTTATATTAAACTAAACTACTTATACTAAACTAACATATATAAAAACAACCTTTGAACATTTTATTTATTTGTATTTCTCTTTGCACCAGCAGATTCTTCACTTTAAAATCCTTCAATTTTTCGTTTGTTAATAAAACAACCCAGCTGCTGACAGTAAGACCAAGCTACATGCATTGAATGTGAACTCTTAGCCGACCTGAGTACTAGGATAGAGAAAAAGACCTTTTCGTTTTTGGTGGACCGACTATGTTTTTTTGCGGAAGAAGGACACCAGCTGGCAAACTTCAATTTCCCCAGTGTCTAGGTGCAATTGTTTAGACATCATATTTGTTCATGATTTTAAAAATAGCAAAAATAAAACCGTCAGCTGCAGAAGCAGCTGACCATCAAAACTACAAGGGCTGTTACTCTGTTACTCGTGGTTTACATGTAAGCTGCCTTCTTCTAAGCCCATTGTATTTTAAATTTACTACAGATACAAATTTACCTACATATGTAAACATCGGCTCTGCAGGGCGCTGCAACGACTCCACTATTTTTCAAAAGTCCAGCCTGGCAAGGAAAATGGTGCCTGTTCCGTTCTTTTAGGAAAAAACTAGGAAAATTTGTGGCGTACAAGTTGCGGTACTGCTTATTGGGGACTATGCCTTTTGACTTCCAAAAGGCTGATGAACCCGTATCCAACTGCATCCGAAGAACTGCGAAATTTCAATTACAATCTGTCCAAAGCTTGGCAAGGAGAAAATGCTTTAGGCCATTTGAAGGCAATGTTGTGGTTCACTGAGAAAGGACTTGACCGCCATTACAAGAATAATAATTCAGTTGCATTTTGCACAATATTTTAACTGAGCACAACAGCGCTTTAAATGATAGTTGGCAGCACACTGGCAGTGACCTACGCGAACAACCAAATCAGACCAATATGTCTGCAGATTTTTAACAGCCTTCAGAACAATTAAGGGCACCTATTTCCCAATATTGTCTAAATGGTAAAAAATAAAGTTTTTTAAACATTAATATGTTTGTTTATTATTTCATTATAACATAACATCTCATTTTATTTTTAAAGTGACATATTCGATTGGAATTTAGCTTTGCTATCTGCCATTCTCGACTTTTTTCCGTCTGCGCTCGCTGCTCCACCAGCCTTTCTCTAGCTATCTCCACAAGCTCCGACTTGTGGTCCACCTTTTCGCGCTTAGCAGGGGGTGCAGTGCTGCCTGAGCGTTGACTCCCGCTGCAGATGGAGGCTTCCCTGTCATCGGGGTCGACATCAACGACCTCTACAAAGTATTCCCTAGTATCTGCAACAAATACATTTTGTTATATAATTTTAAACCATATATATAAGTCGGGACATACTCTCGCTGATAAGCGTCTAGAAAAGAGTGGAGCAACTCGTAATGCTGCCACACGGAAGGAGCCACACCGCTTGTCCCCATTATATTTTTTACCTGCCTGCAAGAAATAATATCGTGGAGTGGATTTCGAATATATTGTTGCGCGCATATAAGTTACCTCTACTTTTTGGTCAGATTTTCAATGTTGTCCGGACGTCTTTGTAGGACACATCCAACGCAGCTTCCATTAAGGCCTGGAACATCTCCATGTATACATACTGGACATTTTTTCTGGCTTCCCGCTACTGCTCGATGTTCTCCTGCCAAATGTCAATTAGCAGAAGCTCCATCTCCATAAACCACATTAGCTTGCCTCCGGGGGCTTGCATATTATGTTTATCATTGTTTACGTTTTCGTATTGAATGTTTCACTTTTTACTGTCAAGAAGAAGAATTCAGAGTTGCACCGAAAAAACATCGCCCAAGATGCAATACCACTTTCACTAGTCTAAAAATCTTATTCTTTGTAGTGTGACTGCCATTTTCAGAGTTCACCCACAATTAATGAAGCTTGTGTCAAGCAGCTGGGTATGGTGAGAAACGGAAAACAAATGAATTGCAGCAACTTAAAAAAGGACTGCTGGTGTATAAAGAAATGAAGATAAAATAACCTCTAATATTTAGAAAGTATATTTACTTAGTAGATCGTGTAATACATTTTCGTCACAAAAGTTGATATCAGAACTTTTGTTCGTAGAAGGTGCGATCGTCACTAAATTTTTACCTCGTAAGAGGTGTTTTTGCTTGATATCAGAAGTTTTTTATTTAAACATCAATCATATAGTTAATCTACTTTCCCGAAAGCCGTAGATTTCATGTTTTTGAATGATTCCATGACCCTAAAATAGCGTTTGGATGAGGAATTCTGAAAAATAAACAAATAAATAAGACATTGAAATAAAAAAAGTTTGCCATACTTTTTAAAGATAGTATTTAGACAAATCATGTTAAAAAGGCGCGCGAAGTATTTCGAAGTACCCTTCTAACGACATATGGCACAAGCATGTAGCTTTCAAAATGCACAAGTTACGGGTGTACGTAATTTAGCTACTTGTAGTTGTTTCTCGCCAAACTTGAGAGTTTTTCCAAAAGTAGTAGAACTAAAGATTCCTATTTTAAGCAGTTTAGCATCCAGGGTATTCCCTAAACTGTTGAATTGCTGAATTGTTGAAAATTGAACAAAAAATTTCAGCAATTAAGGGAACGACCCTAAAAGTTCCCTGTTGAATTTTCAATATTAAGATGTCATCTGTTTGTCAGATTGTTAAATTGCCAGGCCGTGTTTTCCAAATATTATGTTTAAAATTACGGAAAATGCCGAGAATAAGCCAAAAAACTAAACTATTAGAACTCCTAACAGGCAGCATCCTATCAGATATCCTTTATTTGCATATTTTATACGATGGCAATTCCTCCAACGTTACAAGTGACCAGAGTTACCCTATTACTTTTAGTCGAGAACAACAAATTCAACAAAATTTTCAACAGCCCCGAGGCTGTTGAACTGCTGAAATTTCTGAAAGTTGACTTTGTATGGAACAGCTGATTAATAGCTGACCAAAATTCAACAATTCAGCAATTCAACAGTTAAGGGAATACCCAGATCATCTAAAATTTTCAGCTCTTTTCTCGCCCAGCTAGCTAGTTTTTCGAAAGTGCTGGAAGTAAAGTTTCTTCTTCTAAGCTGTTAAACATCATCTCAAATACTCAGGACCTGCAAATAGAGTTTGGATACGCACCAAAAAAGTCAATGTTCAGACTGTGTAAGATGTTCTGAACTGATAAATGTAGCCATTTTTGTTGAATAACAATTTTGAAACGAGGCAATGTGTCGCATGTCAATAGTTGAGGATTCTCAAGGGCTATACACCTTACATTTTTATTTGAAATCATAAAAGCCGTTATTGAAGAATCAGAAATCAAGCTAAAAAATCTACGGTTTTGATGGGTTGGTTTCCAAAAATACTTTACAAAAATACTAACTTAGCTTGAATACGATTGAAAAACTTTAGTTATAGTCCATTAAAGTTAGTAAACTATTCAAATGCAATTCTTGAAAAAGCAAACATTTTTTACTTACGCATGGATAGACAGGCAAACAAACAATTTATATTTAGTACATATCTTATTTTAAAGTAAACTGTAGTTATTATTATTAATAAACTGTAATATATCCCATTATTTTATGTGTAAAGCCTAGTACTCAGATCGGCTTAGGAGTCTAAAAAATCGTATTCTTTGTAACGTGACCGAAGTTTTAAAGTTCACCCGCAATGCATGTAGCATGGTCTTACTGTCAAGCAGCTGGGCTCGTTGCCAAACGGAAAACAAATCAATTGGAGAAATTCAAAGAGGAGGAGTCTGCTGGTACACAAAGAAATTTAAATAAAAACAAGGAAGAACGCTTTAGTCGAGTACCTCGACTATCAGATACCCATTACTCAGCTAAAGGGACATAAGGGAAATGGAGATATGCAAGCAGCAAAGCGAGAGTGAAATGCGCCACCTACCCCTGATCTCAATATATGGTTATGTGTTCGGTAGACAGATTTAAGTGTTATGGGCGTTTGAGTGGGCGTGGCAAACTTTTTTTTGGATCAATCGACAGGTATTGATGAGAAAAATACATTTCAGTTAAAGTTTCTAGCATGAAAATTGTGGGTGTCACAGGCTTGGGCGGTTTGTGGGCGTTAGAGTTGGCGTGGCATATTCGCATAGCAAACTTGCGCTGCGCTCAAGGCTACGGAATCTAAATCTGAAATCCCAATTCTCTATCTTTGATATTTTCCGAGATGTCCGCGTTCATATTTACGATTTTTTTAAGTTTGTGGGCTGCCCACAAACGTTAAAGTGGGCGTGGCAAACTTTTTTTTGGGTCAATCCATAGGTATTGATGAGAACACATCATTTCAGTTAAAATTTGTACTCTAGCATCAAAACTGTAGGAGCCACTGTTTTGGGTGGTTTGTGGGCATTGCACATTGCTGAAACAAACTTGCGCTGCGTAAGAAGCTCAGGAATCTGCATGCCAAATCTCAATGGCCTAGGTTTTGTAGTTTCCGAGATCTCAGCGTTCATCCGGACAGACAGACAGACGGACAGACGGACATGGCTAGATCGACTCGGGTTCGGAAACGCTTCCTTCTGCCTGTTACACACTTTCCGACGAATCTAGTATACCCTTTACTCTACGAGTAACCGGTATAAATAGTTCTAGGTCGTATCTTTTTACCCAGAACAACACGCATGCAAATTTTGCAGATTCTTGCGCAGTTCAAGTTTTTGTTACCAAGGTGCCACGGCCACTATAATACTCATAACGCTTATCCCAAGTTGTAAGGAAATAAAGGAATCGACGCTAGATGGCGCTGTTGCGGAGTGTGCAACCTAAGGATCGTTGTGCTGCCTCCATATTTCCATCTCCCCTGAGCTGAGTAACGGTTATCTGATAGCTGAGGCCATCGACAATTGCGTTCTGGCAATGGGCCAATTCAGTTGTTATAAGGAAATATTTGTTGGTGCAGGAAAAAGAAGCCTTTCAAAGGCTTCTTACTCACGGAATGATGTTATCGTGTAAAGATATATTGGTTTGCTTTCACCTCCAGCTTATGTCCATCTTGGCAAGACCTGAAAACTATTGCACAAAATCATTAAGCTTATTATTAGCCGTTTGAAAATTTTTTTGAGAAGTAACTGGTGGATGTAAAGACCAGTGGTTCCTCAATAGAGAGCTCGTCGGAGATCAAGAGAATCTCGCTTTGCTGCTTGCATATCTCCATTTCCCTTTTTTCCCTTTAGCTGAGTAACGGGTATCTGATAGTCGAGGCACTCGACCATAGCGTTCTTCCTTGTTAATTTTTAGATTCCATAACGCGTTTGCACGAACGCCGCCAAAGGTTAAATTTCTTATTCGTTGGCCTGCGGGTAACGGCGTTTATCGAAATTCACTCGCTAAATCTGGTTTTTTTTCCGGTAATTCCTTAGCTCATCTGAGTTTTCGTCGATGTGAGTACTAGGCTTTAAGAAACAATCTTTTGAGGAAGGTGCTATATATGCCTAAAAGGGTCCAAACGTTACTGTTGGAGTAAAATTGTACCTATTGAACTTTCACTGCGCGTGCCTGAGTGAAAATTGAAAATTCACTCGCGAAATCTGGTATTTTTCTGGTATTTCCTTAGCTCATCTGAGTACCGCGCTGAAAATCAGACCGTACTAGGCCTAAGAAATTTAATCTTTGGCGGTGTTCATGCAAAGGCGATGTGGAAACTAAAAATTAAAAATGGAAGGAAAACGCCAAAATCGTATGCAGGAGGTTAGTGCAGATGAAATAGGACTCCAAATCCAAGCTTATGCCCTTTATTGTGGGATTTCACTGACAGGAAGCAATTCCAAAATTCCAAAAGGGGCAAATTCGCAGAATAGTTGAAGTGCTGGATGAGATTCACTAGAGAATCCCAGTGGGAAGGAAAATGCCAACTGGGACTTCGATTTCTACATGGACATCCTTTCGGGCGCGTCCTCGCAAAGAAAGTAAGATCTGGCCAAAAGAATTTGGTTGCGTTGTATCTTTTTAGCAGAACCACCAGTAATACGATCTCCGACGACCTCTCCATTAGAACTCCGGACACCATCACCACCAGCTACTTGGCAGCTTAAGCGGAGCTGGAGGTCCCACTGGCTTCTATAGGAAGGAGGAAAATAGGGCACCGCTAAGGAACAGTTGGAGAAGCCATAGCCAGCCACTGCCAGGATGCTTGGCGACTTCCTGCAGCATCAGCGGATCAACCCCGTTCTCCCACTTCCTCAAGGTCCAATATGCCCATTGGGACTCGGAGCTGGACTGCGGTGGCGCGGAAAAAAATGCGAAGCATCCGTGGGATGAGAAGGAGGCTTTAAACTGTTAATTTACATTAATAAAAACATTCGTTGAACATTCCATTTATTTTTATTCTAATTTCTTTGTGTACCAGCAGACTTCTTCTTTTTAAATTTATCCAATTGATTTGTTTTCCGTTTGGAAACAAACCCAACTGCTTGACAGTAAGTCCGTGCTACATGCATTGCGGGTGAACTTTGAAAACTTCGGTCACACTGCAAAGAATAAGATTTTTCGACTAGTGAAACTCTTAGCCGATCTATGTACTAGGCTTAAATGGCGGATGTGCTCTGTGGTAATGGGAGTTTCACATTTGATAAAATTAACAACCGTTACGATCAGATGGACTTAATGTGAAAAGTGTATTAGCTTGTTTTCTCTTAGTGAAAACATCGATGTTGGAACAAAACATCAATGTATTGCCGTTTTTTTAAAAAAACGATGTTATCGATAGTGTGTGTTATTTCCAACCCCCGATCTTAAGAAAGTTCAGAGGTTTACAAGTTGACTCTGCAATTGAATATATTGAAGAATATGGATATAAAATCATTTCTTTATGAATTTTGCGCGAAGTCGCGTATTGAACCTAAGTTTGAGGTTCGTCAAACGGGTGAGTGATTTGAGTTTATTACCCCTCAGCCGTAATTTTTCAACCACAAACGTATGCTTTTTATATTTTGTGCAGGTCCCAAAAACCGTCAACGTTTTCTGTGTGAGGTACGGGTGGACCAGAACAACTACATCGGTGTGGGAAATTCTACTAACAAGAAGGATGCTGAGAAAAATGCGTGCCGTGACTTTGTTAACTATTTGGTGCGTGTCGGCAAGCTGAATGCCCAAGATGTGCCGGCGGATGTGGGTATTCGGCGGGAGCAGGACCAGATCAGGTCCTCAGGGCGGGGGCGCGTCTCTGGGAGGACAGCAGAAGCGCATGTTTGGTGCCCAGTCCGGTCCCCAGGATCTGGGTGAGGCCTACCGCCCCCTGAACCACGAGAGCGGTGGCGACAGTAGCCGCTTTAACATTATCGACCATGTCCAGGAGCAGAAGGACATGAACGAAGCTGAGTCCATTGATGTTAACGCCGCTATCCATGGCAACTGGACCATAGAGAATGCCAAAGAACGTCTGAACATGTACAAACAGGCAAACAACATCCGCGACGATTACAAGTATACCCCAGTGGGCCCGGACCATGCTAGGTATGTGCTTTCCTTAATTTTTGAGTAATCCTTGGGAAGACTGTGAAAGATCCGTGGAGGGCTTGGTTAGCAGAGTGACGTAGTACGACACACAAAGCTACTAGAACCACGTCCTGCTACTTTGTATGGGCCTGTAAGCAAAACGGATGCCCATGCAAGGCGGTGTAGGTGGCAATAACACAAGCGCTGGCCTGTCAGCTGCGTTTCAACATTAGTACCATATCGCTCTGCTAGCTTTCCCCCTCTCCGCTGTCCACGGTAGCCCACAATAACCTGCATAGAAGGTAAGTTCCGACTTTGGCCCGCATGCTAGTCCGGAACTTTCCCTAAAAACCTTGTCAATCTAGGAGCTTCATGGCCGAGTTGTCTATTTACGTGCCGGCGCTCAAGCGCAAAGTGACGGCCCGCGAGACGGGATCCAACAAGAAGTCGGCCAGCAAGTCATGCGCCCTGTCCCTGGTGCGCCAACTTTTCCATTTGAAGGTAATCGAGCCTTTAGCGGTACCCTAAAAAAAAGAAGGACGAGGAACTGAAACCATATCCAGTGAAGCTGGCGCCCGAGCTGGTGAACAGCATAGACGAGGTGATCCAGGTGCTAGACCTTCCTGTCGTAAACCCACGCAATATAAAAATGGAGTCGGACGGCGCTCCCATTCCACTGATTGTAAGTGCTCCAAAACTAGCTATAGACCTTTTATATATCAAACAAAACACTACTATCGATGTAAACAACTAGTGACGATCGCACCTTCAACATACAAAAGTTCTGATATCAAATTTTGTGACGAAAATGTGTGATACTTGCTATCAAAACTATCTCCACAATTTTTTTACATACATATTTTTTTAAACCACTTTTACAAATTGACTTATAAATATACCCGTTACTCGTAGAGTAAAAGGGTATACTAGATTCGTCCGAAAGTATGTAACAGGCAGAAGGAAGCGTTTCCGACCCCATAAAGCATATATATTCTTCGTCAGGATCACTAGCCGAGTCGATCTAGCCATGTCCGTCTGTCGTATGAACGCTGAGATCTCGGAAACTATACAAGCTCCAATACTGGACTTAGGCATGCAGATTCCTGAGATTCCTGCTCAGCGCAAGTTTATTTCAGCAGAGTGCCACGCCCACTCTAACGCCCACAAGCCGCCCAACACTGTGGCTCCTACAGTTTTGATGCTAGATACAAAATTTTAACTGAAATGTATTGTTCTCGTCAATACCTATCGATTGACCAAAAAAAAGTTTGCCACGCCCACTCTAACGCCCACAAACCGCCCAAACCTGTGGCGACCACAATTTTTATGCTAGATAAAAAATTTTAACTGAATTGTATTGGTCTCGTGAATACCTATCGATTAATGCAAAAAAACAAATTGCCACGCCCACTTTAACGCCCATAACGCTTAAATCTGTCTACCGCCGGTAGGTGGTGCATTTCAATCTCGCTTTGCTGCTTGAATATCTCCATTTCACTTTGGTTCCTTTAGTTAAGTAACGGGTATCTGATAGACGAGGAACTCGTCTATAGCGTTCTTCCTTGTTTTTATTTTATTCCGATCAAAACAAAAATCACTTTCTTTAAAAATAAATAATAACTAAAGTTAAATAAATATCAATTTCAGGACCATATGTTTTTACAATTTACAAGATTATGTGTATACTCTTGGTGCTAAATTTGTGGAATGAATAAAAAGTTATTAGACAAGCCATTTCCTACAAGTGGTTGAAAAAATATGTACAAAAATTGTGGAGATAGTGATATCAGATAGGTGAAAACTCCTACACGAGAACCGCGAGGCTCCGATAAGTTTTTTTTGATCGGAATAAATAAAAAATCATATAAGCCATTAAAAAAAAAAAGCTAAAAAAAATATGTAAAAAACTGTGTTATAGTTATGATAACAACTTAAACCGAATGTGAAATCAGATTGGTCGAAAGTCTTACACGAGGGCCGCGAGGCTCTGATGAGTTTTATTTTGATCGGAATAGAATAAAAATCATTTGATAAGACTTTTTAAAAGTGGTTAAAAAAATATGTTACAAATGTGAAGAAAGCTTGACCTCTTTGGCGGAAAGTCTGTCACGATGGTCGCGAGGCACTGACATATTTTATTTTGGGCAAAACAAATATTATCAATAATTATTACTTTTTAGGTTTAATTTTTTTTATCATGGTAATGATTATGGTCTAAGTTATTTTTATATTACTCAAACAAAGATTACATTAACTTACAATATAATATTTTGATTCTGCCCAAAGTTGGTGGATGGTAGTTCCTGTTAGAGTTGAACCCTTGATCACACAAAAGAAGACTAATAATTTTTAAATATAAGCTTTTTCTTAAAAGATTTTTAAAGAAATTTGTTTGGTATCACTGGTGTTTTTATTTTAATTATACCCGTTACTCATAGAGTAAAAGGGTATACTATATTCCTCGGAAAGTATGTAACAGGCAAAAGGAAGCGTTTCCGACCCCATAAAGTATATATATTCTTGATCAGGATCACTAGCCGAGTCGGTCTAGCCATTTCCGTCCGTCCAGAAGAACGCTGAGATCTCGGAAACTATAAGAGCTAGGCTTTTGAGATTTGGCATGCAGATTCCTGAGTGCCACGCCCACTCCAACACCCACAAACCGCCCCAAACTGTGGCTCCTACATTTTGATGCTAGAGTAAGAATTTTAACTGAAATGAATTCTTCTCATCAATACCTATCGAATAACCCAAAAAAAAAAGTTTGCTTCGCCCACTTTACCGCCCGCAAACTTAAAAAAATCGTAAATATGAACGCGGATATCTCGGAAAATATCAAAGATAGAGAATTGGGATTTCAGATTTAGATTCCGTAGCCTTGGGCGCAGCGTAAGTTTGTGACGCGTATATGCCCAAAAACCGACCAATCCTGTGGCGCCCACAATTTTCATGCTAGATACAACATTTAAACTGAAATGTATTAGTCTCGTCAATACCTATCGATTGAACCAAAAAAAAGTTTGCCACACTCACTCTAACGCCCGTAAGCCGCCCAAACCTGTGGGCGCGTACAATACTCATTCTAGAAAAAAAAATTTATCTGAAATGTATTAGTCTCGTTATTACCTATCGATTGACCAAAAAAAAAGTTTGTCACGCCCACTCTAAAGCTCAAACCGCCTAAATCTGTCTACCGCCCACATAACCATATATTGAAATCAGGGGTAGTTGGCGCATTCAGTGTCGCTTTGCTGCTTGCATATCTCCATTTCCCTTTTGTCCCTCTAGCTGAATAACGGGTATCAGATAGTCGAGGTACTATAGCGTTCTTCCTTGTTATTATCTCGAGTTGCGACTAACCAATTTAGTTGGCATATGTTTTAGTATACAACTTTGTCACCCTTTAATTTTTAAGAATAAATGAATAGGATACATTGAGTATATTGTGATCTACAACTCAGCAAACTTTAAAAATGTGCAATTTGTTTAAATTGAAATTTGTAAAAAACTAGAAAATAAACTAAGCGTCCATACGAACCAAACAAGTCATATTTGGACGAATTCCATGGTAAAAAAAGTTTATTTTTATTTGTTATGATTTGCCTTGTTGGCCCGGTTACAGAGTTGCGCCTGAAATTTGAATTTCAGTATTAACCAACGTAAGGAGATTCATGATATTCCCTTAGGCGGTGTTGTGAAACTTTGGTTTTCAACGTCGTTAAGCCTAGTTCTCAGATAAGCTAAGATTTTCACTAGTCGAAAAACTGTATTCTTTGTAGTGTGACCGAAGTTTTCAAAGTTCACCCGCAATGCATGTAGCATGGTCTTACTGTCAAGCAGCTGGATTGTTAGCAAACGGAGAGCAAATCAATTGGAGCAATTTAAAAAGGAAGAGACTGCTGGTGCACAAAGAAATAAAAATAAAAACAAGGAAGAACGCTTTAGTCGAGTACCTCGACTATTAGATATTTGTTACTCAGCTAAAGGACAAAAGGAAAATGGAGATATGCAAGCAGCAAAGCGAGATTGAAATGCGCCACCTACCCGCGATCTCAACATACGGTTATGTGGGCGGTAGACAGATTTCAGCGTTATGGGCGTTAGAGTGGGTTTGTCAAACTTTCTGGGTCAATCGATAGTTATTGACGAGACCCAATACATTTCAGTTCAAATTTTTTATCTAGCATACAAATTGTGGGCGCCACAGGCTTGGGCGGTTTGTGGGAGTTGGAGTGTGCGTGGCAACTTTCGGAACAACTTGCGCTGCGTACACGGTTACGGAATCTAAATCTGAAATCCTAATGCTCTATCTTAGATAGTTTCCGAAATATGCGCGTTCATACCTACGATTTTTTGAAGTTGTGGCGTGGCAACCTTTTTTTTTTTTGCTCAATCGATAGCTATACAATTCAGTTAAAATTTATATTCTAGCATCAAGCTGTAGGAGCCACAGTTTTAGGCGGCTTGTGGTCGTGGCACGCTGCCGAAACAATCGTGCGCTGCGCAAGAAGCTCTGGAATCTGCATGCCTAGTCCTAGTAGCCTAGCTCTTATAGTTTGAAATGTTCAACGAATGTTTTGATTTGTGTAAATTAATATTTATTTTATAAAGTTAATAATATTTAAGTAAAAATATACCGAAAATGGTGTCAAAGTGAGTAGTTTTTAATTGATACATGTTGATTTCTTTAAAACCTTTTAGCAATATTTTTGATATTTCGTACCCTCTGCACACAGTCGCTGAAAGATAGTTGTTGCAATTTTAGGCGTACTCCTGTTCACATAGAGAATCGCTGTAGGGAACAGCTGATCGGCATAAGCAAACCGTATCCATAGGGATAAGACAAGAAAATACAGTTGCTCTGAAAAAATACAAAAAACAACGCAAGTTTAAATACAGTTTGACCGCTAACATGTTGAATGTTTTTAGCCCCAAATGATTTTTCCACTACAGTTTAAATGCATTTCCTACTCCAGAAATCCCGAAATGCCAATTACTAATATCACCTAAAATCATATAAAATACTGAATAATACACTGGAATACTGGATCGATTTGGGTGTGTTATCCCTGTTTCCGCTGCAGGGAGTTGTATCAACTTTTTCTCGTCTCTCTCCTACACGTGTGTTTCTTATGAAGGAAAAAGTCGGTGAAGCGGAACTTGAATGCTGAAGCGAAAACCTCCTATGTCTGAATAGGGTATAACTAAGACCACCTTAAGTTAGTTTATACTAAATTTCAAGTTTCAGGCGCAATTCTCTTATTGGCCTAACAATGCAAGCATGACCAATGAAATTTAACTTATTTTACCATTAATTTTGTTCAAATATGGCTTGTTTGGTTCGTTTGGACGGTAACTTTAAAGTGGTGCACGTCTCGATTCTACGATATCAACAGATTCCTTGCAGTCACTAAATTCTAAAGTTTCATGAGTTGTAGCTTACAATATATTCAATGTCTCCTAATAATTTATTCGGCAACATTAAAGGGTGGCATTTTAGTTGTAAACTAAATCATATAGCACCTAAATTGGTTAAGCGCAGCTCGAGGTATAAATAAAATCGCAGAGATATCAAAAAAATTTTCTTTAACAAAAAACTTATCTGTTTAAAATATTTTTGAATTCTTTTTCGTGGTCTAGGGGCTTAACTCTAGGAGGAACTAACGTCATCCCTCTTGGGGAATTTTGGCTGTAAGCTAGTGAAATAGGCAATAAATGAAAAAAATTTAACAAAATTATTGCTTTGGTGGTTTACGACACATTATTGGGCATTTTCCATTTTTCACTCGGAAGTGAGTTTATTAACATTGTCGACTTTTCCTTTAACAATAAAACTTTCCTACTTCTTGGGTAATTTGCTTAGGGAAATTCCCTTTTGGTGTCAAATAAAACAGCTGACTGCGGCAACAGTCTCTTAACAGAAGACTTAACTTGCCTGCGCTTTTCAGGCAAAGTGTCGATTAAATTTTGGCCCGCTGTTGCTTTTTATCTATTTGCGTTAGATGTGTATAAATTTAATGCATAAAATCCAATAATCAAACAAGGAAGAACGCTATAGTCGAGTACCTCGACTATCAGATACCCATTACTCAGCTAAATAGAGATATGCAAGCAGTAAAGCGAGATTCAAATGCGCCACCTACCGGCGGTATTCAGATTTAAGCGTTATGGGCGTTAGAGTGGGCGTGCCAATTTTTGGGTCAATCGATAGGTGTTGATGAGATCAATACATATCAGTTACAATTTTTATTCTAGCACCAAAACTGTAGGAGCCACAGTTTTGGGCGGTTTGTGGGCGTTAGAGTGGGCGTGGCACTCTGCTGAAACAAACTTGCGCTGCGTAAGAAGCTCAGGAATCTGCACGCCAAACCTCAATAGCCTAGCTCCCATAGTTTCCGAGATCTCAGCGTTCATCCGGACGGATAGACAGACGGACAGACGGACATGTCTAGATCGACTCGGCTAGTGATCCTGATTAAGAATATATATACTTTGTGGGGTCGGAAACGCTTCCTTCTGCCTGTTACATACTTTCCGACGAATCTAGTATACCCTTTTACTCTACGAGTAACGGGTATAACAATAATTGGCATAAACGCAAGTTGCAAAATATTAAAATAAAATAATACTGCTAATAATAGTGCTGCAAAATTCTGAAGAAAAACATTGACCGAGATTACCAAAGTACAACGATCAAAATAAATAATGTTCATATCTCATCTGAATAAAATACTTTCTTCTTTGCGTTTTTTCCAAATTTTTCAACTTTGACGAAGTGTAGCTTTTAAACTAATGAATGGAACTCATTGATGTGTATAGGAATCTTAAAGGGCACTCTATTACGTGTAAAATGAGTCTTTGATGACTGAATTCGGTTTATCACAACTCGAGTTAGAAAATAAATAAGGGCGAAAAACGTTTTTTAAACTTAAAAAAAAAATTGGTACCATAGAAAAAATTTTAAGTGCCCTTTTTTTAATCAGGGAGATGTATCTTACCGGAAAACAAAGGTTTCCTGAAAGGCGTATTTCATCAATTTTTTTTTGTAAACTGGTGTAATATATCAAGAAAGCATTTAATTTAAGTTCTCATAATGCAATTATAAACATGAGACTTCAACAAATATGAAAAAAAATCTTTTGCATTTAAAGCAATTGTGAAGTATTTGTAAACAATTAATGTTTATGCTGTCGGATTTAAATCCGCAACACAATTTAAAAAAAAAATAGGACGACTATTTCAGTTAGCTACCATTTGATCGGAAACAGAATTATTGGGAAAATTAACAGAAAATAATTGTAGCATCGTGGATTTCGAACTACATTTTTATATGGCTGTCATAGGAAATCTCGGTATATTTGTATACAAATCTGCCGCATATATATATGCTTTATAGTGTTTGTGTAATAATAAATATTTGCTATGTTTAAGACTCAGATTGAATTTCATTTGCAAGAGCTTGACAGGTTAGGTTTTTTATTCAGATTCCTCTCATGGCTTGAGACTCATTCACCTTTACCGGAAATTTAAGTCGAATCTAGATGTGTTTTTGTTTGCCTAGTAACTGTTGAACTTGAGTTTTCCTGAAAATAGGCTTTAGTCAAAGATCGTAAAATCGAACGATTTCGTCGGTGTTTTTTGGCATATAATTTTAACTCTTGGTAATACATTTTTTGTACTGTTTCAGAGCTTTAAATTAAATTTATCATATAATCACGTAACTAATGCAAAAAAAATAATACTGAAAAAAATACCTTCGCTTATTTTGAACATTCTCCCTTCTTTTCTGGAATAAATAATTTGTTAATATTTCAGAACTACGAATTACAATTTAAATTAAAAGAAGCTAACTTCTGCAAGCTGAAGTTGATATACCCTTGCAGCTTAAACCATATAATTATTCGAAAATTTTGTATAGTTACTTAACTAGTTACTTTGACCAAGAGTTTTATTTTTTTCGCAAGTACACTATTGTAGTCCCTCTAATCAACGACGGTGTTTTCCCTAGGTTAACGCAAACCGCATTGACTCTATCCAACAAGATGGGGAGAAACGTCAAGAGAGCTCGGTTATTCCGTGGGCCCCTCCTCAGCCAAATTGGAACACGTGGCATGCGTGCAACATCGACGAAGGTGAATTAGCAACCGTCTCTATAGATGACCTTTCTATGGACTTCGAACGCTCGTTGCGAGAGCGACGCCAAAACGACGCTGAGTATCGAAAATTCCTCGAGTTTCGCGACAAGCTGCCCATAGCAGCCATGCGTTCCGAGATTCTAAGCGCCATTAATGACAGCCCAGTGGTAATCATTCGTGGCAATACAGGATGCGGCAAGACCACCCAGATAGCCCAATACATCCTAGACGACTACATCTCTTCCGGCCAAGGTGGCTATGCCAATATTTACGTAACCCAGCCTCGCCGCATTTCAGCTATTTCTGTGGCAGAGCGTGTAGCCCGTGAGCGGTGCGAGCAGTTGGGCGACACTGTCGGCTACTCGGTGCGATTTGAGTCAGTTTTCCCACGGCCCTACGGCGGAATCCTCTTCTGCACTGTAGGTGTGTTGCTGCGCAAGCTGGAGGCGGGCCTACGTGGAGTATCGCACATTATCGTCGACGAAATTCATGAGCGAGATGTGAACAGCGACTTTCTACTGGTGATACTTCGCGACATGGTCGACACCTATCCGGATCTGCACGGTAAGCTCAAATACTTATGTTGCAATTTACCTTTAAGGCTGTAAAATTTCAAGAAATATAGTTTACTAATTTTTTAAAATCTGAAAGGTATTATTTAGCAATATAAATAAATCATTTATTTATTATTATTATTACAATACTTTTGTGGGCAGCAAGGGCAATTTATTTGAAAAATGAAAAGTCTTTATTTATTCTTCTAAATCAATTTCATCAACCTCAAAACATGCCAAATAGTCCGGAATAGGCATCGTCTCCTTCTTCGAGTCAGCTTTTTATCACCTCAATCGACTCGAAACGCGTTCCCCGGAGTGGTCTCTTAAGTTTTGGAAACAGATAGAAGTCACACGAAGTCAAAGGCGAAATGGTCACGATGAACGAGTAAAATGTGAGCCGGTGCATTATCATTATGCAAAAAAGAAATGTTGTTGCCCATAATTCTGGTATTTTTAGACAAATTGTCTTACCCAAACGACGCATAATGCTCAAATAATATTTCTTACCTATAATTTGGCCGGGGGGATGATATATAAAAAAAGGAAATCGAGTAACGGGTATAAAAATCATTAAAAACTTGGGTAGTAGACAGATCTGAGCCTTGGAATGGTCGTGATAAATTTTTGTTAAGTCAATCGGTAGGTATTGACAAAACCAATACCTTTTAGTTAAAATTGTTATTTTAGCATAAAAACTGTAGAAGCTACAACTTTGGGCGGCTTGTGGGCGTAGCAACTAATTTTTAAAGTCAATCAATAGGTATTAAAGAAACCAATACATTTTAGTTAAAAGTTTGTTTCTAGTATCCAAACTGTGGGTGCGATATTTTTGGGCGGCTTGTGGGTTTTATAGTGAGCGTGGCACCAAACTGAAACAAACTTGCGGCGGGCAGGAAACCCAAGAATCTGCATGCTTAATCCCAACATTCTAGCTCTTATAGTTTATAGTTTCCGAGCGTTCATACGGATTGACGGTCATTGTTAGATCGACTCGGCTTGTGCTCCTGGTCAAGCATATACACTTGGCCCTCGCTTAAATCGAACTCGGACTTACACGGTTACAAATTTGCTCCCATCCCCCATTTGACACGCTAAAAACATCGTTCTTACACGATTGCAATCGAAAATGACTGATTTTTTTGATAGGGAGTCACCAAAAAATAAAACATGTTGAAACAAATTGGCTTAAACTATAAATGCCACCAAATGCATTTCAAATTTGATATGAATACAAACATATGATCTTCTTACTTTTTAGCATTTTTAACCCCTTATTTTGTACTGAATCCATGCTTCGCTTACCACGATTTCGCTTAGCACGAGGATTTCAAGGAACATAACCCACGTGCTAAGCGAGTGCCAAGTGTCTATATCTTATGGGGTCGAAAACGCTTCCTTCTACCTGTTACATACTTTCCGACAAATATAGAATACCCTTTTACTCTACGAGTAAAGGGTATAATAAATGGAATGTTTAACGAATGTGTTCATTTATGTAAAAGCTTCCTCCTCGTCACACAGATGCTTCGCCATCTTTCCCGCTCCACCGCAGTAGAGCTCCGAGTCCCAATAGGCATATATCCGACAATAAAGGGCACAAACTTGGAGTTGGCGTCCTATTTCATCTGCACTGACCTCCTGCATCCGATTTTGGGGTTTCCCTTCCATTGTTAATGTTTAGTTTCCACATAACCTTTGCACGAACACCGCCAAAGATTAAATTTCTTATTCTTTGGGCCGCCGCTAACGACGTTCATCGAAAATTCCCTCGCGAAATCTGGTATTTTTTCTGGTATTTCCTTAGCTCATCTGGGTACCGCGCTGAAAAACAGACCCACCAAAAAGCGTTAGCCGCGTATTTGCCTCTCGCTCACTCCTATGGTTAGCTCGCGGTTTTCGTTGATCTGAGTACCAGGCTTAAAGACGGATCAATTTTTGCATGAACACGAGCTGAAAACACGTCAAGTTTAAAAGCTCGCAGCCGATCAGGGATGCACATAAAAGCTCATTCAAGAGCTTTTTTGAGATTTGCAAAGTGTTTCCAATTAAATGTAAGCAAAACTTAACGTTTTTTTCAAAAATTAAAAATTGATCTTTGTTCCCTTACACTTATCATTCGATCCGCTGTGCACTGGCCCCAACAGATCAAATTTCCCAAAGTTTCACTTTTACACTTTCACCGCTCTTTCTCTCAAACCAATTCTTTTTTTTAATTCTTGGTATGCAATCCTTTTAGTTTAAGCAATACCTTTCGATACTGGTCCTTTCTCCACAAATAAGATTAGCTTATGTGGATATTTGGCTTTTATTCCATTCCATCCATCCCATTGAACGAATCGTTACTGACCCAGGAACGTATTCAAAATAAAACAAGGAAGAACGCTATAGTCGAGTACCTCGACTATCAGATACCCGTTACTGGGACCAAAGGGAAATGGAGATATGCAAGCAGCAAAGCGAGATAGGTATTGACGAGACCAATACATTTTAGTTAAAATTTTTTTATCTAGCATGAAAATTGTGGGCGCCACAGGTTTGGGCTGTTTGTGGGCGTTAGAGTGGGATACAAGGCTACGGAATCTACATTTGAGATCCCAATTCTCTATCTTTGATAGTTTCCGATATATCGACGTTCATATGTACGATATTTTGAAGTTTGTTCGCGTTAAAGTGGGCGTGGCAACCTTTGGATGGCCAATGGATGGGTATTGATGTGAACAATAAAGTTCAGTTAAAATTTTTATTCTAGAGTGGGCGTGGCACTCTGCTGAAACAAACTTGCGCTGCGTAAGAAGCTCAGGAATCTGCGTGCCAAATCCCAATAGCCTAGCTCTTATAGTTTCCGAGATCTCAGCGTTCATTCGGACGGACGGACAGACAGACATGACTAGATCGACTCGGCTAGTGATCCTGATCAAGAATATATATACTTTATGGGGTCGGAAACGCTTCCTTCTGCCTGTTACATTCTTTCTGACGAATCTAGTATACCCTTTTACTCTACGAGTAACGGGTATAACATGGAAGAACGCTATAGTCGAGTACCTCGACTATCAGATACCCGTTACTCAGCCAAAGGGACAAAAGGGAAATGGAGATATGCAAGCTAGAGCTGCAAAAACTTCAATGGTAGCCCCATCGATAGTCTTGATAGTTTGCGGACTAAACCTCGGTACTATCGCGATAGTATCGCTCATATATAAGCACTAGGGGTATTCATGTAAAACCAATATAATAGGGGTATTCCTTAAAATAAATTATGATTTTCAATTATTGACAATTAAAAACGCAATTAGTTTAAATTCAAGTGAGATCTTTTCAATACATCTTTGGTACTCTCAAAAAGATCCCACACCGAACTTCCAAGCCGGTTGACCTTTTTTGCTCCTTGCACGTTGCACACGATTTCCACATCCTGCTCCACACTCTGCTTCATATCCTGCTCCACATCCTTGTCTCCACCTATAGTTTCATGAAGAATATATGTAAGTTGAAGCTCTTTACATCTTTGCCATCCACTTGCTTTTTGCACCGCCATCCATTTTTAATGAACCACAACAGCAAGGGTACCACCAGAATTTGAATATTTCTGTCGAAAACGAGAAAAAATTAGTATATATTACATTTTCCGTATGCAAAATCTGCGTACCTTCTTATTAGTTCGAGTTTTTTGTAAAACTATCGTGATAGTCTGAAAATTATCGAAGTCGGTCACCGGCGGCCAACCATCGATACTATCGATGGTTCCATCGATTTTTTTGCAGCTCTAATGCAAGCAGAAAAGCGAGACTGAAATGCGCCACCTACCCCTGATCTCAATATATGGTTATGTGGGCGGTAGACAGATTTAGGCGTTATGGGCGTTTTCAATCGATAGGTATTGACGAGCCTAATACATTTCGGTTAAAATGTTGTTTATAGCATGAAAATGGTTTGCGCCACAGGCGTTGCGCTCAAGGGTACGGAATCTAAATCTGAAATCTCAATTCTCTATCTTTGATAGTTTTGGAGATATCCGCGTTCATATTTACGATTTTTTAAAGTTTGTGGGCGTTGGCAAACTTTTTTTTGTGTCAATTCATAGGTATTGATGAGAACAATACATTTCAGTTTAAATTTTTATTCTAGTTTGTGGGCGTTGGAGTGGGCGTGGCACGCTGCTGAAACAAACTTGCGCTGCGTAAGAAGCTCAGGAATCTGCATGCCAAATCTCCTATAGTTTCCGAGATCTCAGCGTTCATCCGAAAAGACAGACAGACGGACATGGCTAGATCGACTTGGCTAGTGATCCTGATCAAGACGCTTCATTCTGCCTGTTACATACTTTCCGACAAATCTAGCATACCCTTTCACTCTACAAGTAAAGAGTATAAAAATAACAAGAAAGGAAGCTAACTTTGGCAAGCCGAAGTTTCTATACCCTTGCAGGTCGTTACCGTGGGAGCATTGTATATACAGAGCTTTCCGACTTTTGGAAAACTAATTACAGAATTTCAGAGATAATGTTCCATTTTAATTTACTACCTTAAATAAACGAAACATAAAGGGTTTTTGTATTAGTTTGACATTAATTATCCGATCGTTCCTATGGCAGCAATATGATAATGTCGTGCGAATTTTTTAAAATTTAATTCGAAACTGAAATATTAGATGAATGATAATCCCAAGAGTAAGATAAGGGAGAATATACATGTAAACGATTTTTTTTTAGGAAATAATCAAGTAATCATTGCGGCAATGTGGATGTATTTGAAGGTGGTACAAAAAATGTTACATAATTTTTTTGTATAAAAAAATTTTACAAAATGGCGAACTTATGGAGTGTGTGCCAGTATGAATCGCTTCGATATGTTGCATAAGTTTTTGTGAATCATGTCAAAAATAAAGAAAAAAAACGCAAAAGTGAAAATTGGAGAAAAAGCAGTTTAAAGTTTTCAATGTGAATGTTCCTCGCTTACATGTTCAATCTGAGGTACTTGGAATTCAAATTTAAAATTTTCACAGCAT